TTTATCTCCATATTTAGATATAATTAGTTTGCTCTCGATAATGCACATTTTTACTCATTCCAACGCTTTCAGCAATATCTCCTAAAACAGAGCTAGATGAGTGCACTGTTGCGTATGGATTACGATCTGGTCGTACAGTTATTGATAGAGAACACAGATACTTCATATAGTCAAATAACTTGACCACACTAATTTGACATGATCGGTTTGTATTCGAGTTACAAGTTATTTGCAAAACCTGCAAGGCAGGATAATTGATGATATAGTCGCCAAATTGACTCATATTGGCACCCATGACATGTAGACTTGTCAATGGAAGGCGAGGAGTGTAAGCTAAAAGTTGAGTGCCATCCATTTTTAAGGTTTTGATATTTGGTGTTATTGAAAAAATCGATTTAAGAAATGTCTTTTTCATTGGAGAGTTTAATTGAAGTGATCTAACATTGTGAAGAATAATATTGCTACATGATAAGTCAACTTGTGAATCAAATACAAGTGTAGTTAGATTCTTGAATGTCTCGGCGATTACTTGTAAGAATAGTGGCGATATCACTGCAGCCGCCTTATATCTTAGACAGTGAACTGCTGACCAATTGACAGCATTACTAAAATTATACTGAAGAGCATCGATCGGCAAGTCTTGTAGCTCTCTATATGGGAATGGCATTGAATGGAGAATAATTGTAAATTGATCAATGTAAAAATTTGCAGACCATTTTCGTTGATGCCAATATTCCGTGCAAAAACTTTGCATGATAGAGTTTCTCTGATGAGAAGGATAAAAGGAGAAATCATGTATTCTAAGGCAAAAGTAAAGCTTTTTCAAATATTGACAGTGTGACAACAATTCATGTTCAAAATACTGACCATCTATTCGATTTGAACAATGAACAGACCCCACTTTGAGTGATAATACAAAAAGAAGTGGACACCTTTTGATGATCGTTTCTAATACTTTGAAATCGTATGCTTTTGCTTGTTCAAAATATTCAAATATAAACATTTTCAGTTTTAGCATCGATGGAATCGTATTAAAACTAGGTTCTATTTCAGTACTCGATAATCTCACTTGCAATCGTTCAATATTTGGAAAAAGCTTTACTTTTGCCTTAGAATACATGATTTCTCCTTTTATCCTTCTCATCAGAGAAACTCTATCATGCAAAGTTTTTGCACGGAANAATAGATTCAGCAAATCACTTGTATTTGTTAATACTGATATTTGTAGGAGTTTAATATTTGTAGCACAGATAGGTTTACTAAAATGAAGTGAGTGTTCTAAATTGCATATAACATGTGTTAATGAAGGATGTTTGGTATAAAATAACTTGTCTGAAACGTATTTAATACACTGCCAAGCAATGATTTCTAACTCCTTTTTTTCACGATCCATGTATATGCCGTTGTCCTCAACAATATTAAGTTTCAGTTTCGTTAGTCTAGGAAAAGATGATAAGTCATTCAAATAAGGAAAAAGATGATTCATATGGGAAGCATTTTCGACCCAAAGAACACTCAAATTCGGAAATGCAGCTGAAACATTCATTCCATTGCCGAATAGTTCCGTTTCACTGCGATGATTTGGATTACCAACTTTAAAAACTGTGACATTGGCACCTATAAATGGAAATATATTGCAGCATTCTTTAAGCAAACAGTAAGAGAATAAATGATTGATCAAGTCTATGAATTTCACATAATGTAAAACCAGTTGGTTGTATCGATCATTCAAATGATAATAAGCATATGCGATATGAACATGATCCAAATAATCAAATATGCAATAGACAATATCATTTGATAGAGTTTCAAACGAGCTAGCCATTTCTACGAGTGCACAGCTTTTTTCTTCGACATTCTAAATGTATATCAAAATACTTCAACGAACGGCAAGCCACTAAAAGGTTATCTCGAATTTTCAAAAATCTCGATATCTACCTGTTGAGTCCCTTAAAAGAATTTTGCTTTTCATTAAGCATTCAAAAATGAATAAATGTATCATGCACCTTCTTATTCTCTTATCTTATCATCATACAGATCGTCTTCTCGTGCTTTTCCTGTCACCTTGAAATATGTCGCTTGAAACTGAAGCACATTACTTTACGATAATGCTCTAGTGGAGATATTTGTTAGATGTAAATAAGGGTAACTAGATATGGTGAAGACAGCATAGAAGAATATGTGAATGCTGGTGCAATTAATCAGAAAGGCTGATTTTTGTCGGTTGTGAAAATGCCTTGTCAATAATAGTGTCCTGCAACCAAATCAGGCGTCCCGTACCTCATCGGATAGGAAACAGGAGTGTGAATGCAAAGCTACCAGGTCGGTTCGGATACCGGATATTAAAACAAATGTTGGGCCAGATGCAAAGTTAGATCATGCCTATTATTCAACCGGTACTTAGTCAAGCCTCGATGTTTTCACAGGCTTTTATGCTTTCAAGGTCTTATTTATGTAAAAGCATTGAAGTAGAGACTGGCTTGATCATTGTTGAACAATTAATTGCACTTGGGAACAGATCACCGGAATGAGAATTGATATTGCTGTCACCAAGATAATTTCTGGTTTTTTTCGAAAAATCATTCACAGATGCTGAGGGTGTGTGGTGTGGGTGACAGAGAAGAAGATACCCAC